GCTTCTGCTGCTCTTGTTGGTAGTTGCTGTTCCTCAGTCTCCCCTTGCGTTGCATGGAAAAACACTTCCGGAAAGTTCTGGTCAGAGGCTCAGCAAGACCGTACTGTGTGTTAACCCCAGCCCAGCGCAGCCTCCCTGTGGGGGCCTCAGTTTTCCCCGTTCTTAGCTTGGATCACTTGATTAAGGTGCCACCTCCACCGCGCTGTCACAGACTTTCCCTGCCTTGGTCCCAAGCAAAAGGTCGTGAAGCCCAGCCACGCTCACAGGGAGAGGGGTGGAATTCCGTCCCCTGGGGGAGATCTGTGCAGCCTTCGCAGTATTAATACAGACCCTAGGAAGAGGAGCTTGGAGACGCTGCAGAGGTTCTGTTTGTCTGTGAAACTGCTCCTGTGCCTTTCATGTCCTTCAGTGGACCTTGGTGGCCAGGAGCTCCTTCGTTATCTTTGTCCTTTTTCTCTCTTGCTGCGTGCTTGTCCAATGGTCTCTTTCCTCCCCAGGGGAAGGCAGCCGGAATGGAATTCAGAGATCTGGCAGGCTTATTCCTCGACACCTGAGTTTCTGGCTTGGTTAGATTTATGGCTTCTGCATTCCCAGAAATCTGTTCTTCAGAACATTTCCTGGCCGTGGTTCTTCCACCTGTCCACTCGTGTTATGGACTGCGTTAGACCCCAGGGACAGTCTGGGCGCAGTGGCTCGGTCTGGGCTCCACTGGAATCGTTGACTGATGTCGCCAGTCCTGGGGGAGGAGAGGAGGTTAACGAGCAGAGGAGGGCAGGCGTTTGGCAAACACGGAGCTGCCCCAGCTCCAGCGCTGTGACATCTTCAGAAGATCACTTCGAACAGAACTGACAAGTTCCAGGTAAGCAAAGGCGGAGAGGAAATGCCGCCCCAGACGTGGGGAGGGATGTGGAGGGCAACACCGTGTGTGGGAAGGGACTGCATTTGGGGTAGTTCTTGCAGTCGCGTATCCTGCCTTGCCAAGGTGATCCTACCAGCACCTTGCCCTGGTATGATCACCTTGCCCTACCATCAGGCCGCACCGAGCCCTAAGACACAGTTGGGAATAAATTGACTTTGGGGTCTGTACCAGTTTGTTTTCAGTTGCTGTAATGAAATACATAGAGCTGGCTCATTTGTAAAGAAAAGAGGGTTAGAGGCTGTGGGTGCAGCTCAGGGACAGAGCATTTGCTTAACATGCATAGGGCCCCATGTCTGATGCCCAGCACCACTCTCCCCAGTTAAAGAGGGCCACTTAGCTCACTGGTCTGGAGGATGAAAGCCCAAGATTGTGTGGGTGGCATCAAGGCAGGAGCACATGTGAGCCAGAGAATGATGTAGGGGCCAGGCGCACGCTTACAACAGCTCAGTCTAGGGAGAGCTCGGTGTGCCCTGAGAACTGCCTTCATTCTTTCAGAGCCTGTGTTCCCATGAGCTGGGCAGCTCCACTAGGCCCCCGGTCCCCAGCATCTCACACTGGGACCAACTTCAGCACATGGACGCCTGCGGGGAGCCAGCCAGCCCAGCCGTAGAAGGTGAGAGCAGCTTCAAGGGAACAGTGGAAAAAATACAGATGGTGGAGTGAGGGCTAGTTGGGTTCAAATCCCAGCTTTATCACTTTTTAGCTGTGTAATATTATGGACTCAGGTCTCCTATAGAAGAAAAATAATGGTAACTTATTTATAGTATT